TGCATAGACTCAGATAGGACTAGACAGCTTTAAGGAACTAAGGTTGACTTTCTGGAACGAAAAGAGCCCTTTGGAATCGTTGGCCTGGTACTTTGCTTTTAGAGTTCCCAGATGAGTAAAGAAGGTCACTTCTTGGCAGGTGCAGGAACCTAAGGATCTGTGGGAGACCTCGAGAAGAAGAATTCACCCAAATCTACAGGTATTGCAGGCACATCTAATGACAAGTATCTGGCTTGGCTTCTGGCCTTGAAAGGCTATTAAAAGTTCAATCTAAAATTCCTTACAAAAGTTCCAGCAAAGCAGATTTAAGAGAACTTATGTGGTCAATCACTATTCTTGCTGTACTTATGTAAATAATTAGGTTAAGTTTGTTAAAACTAGACTTGTTTTACAGACAAATTATTTTTAATTTGGCTATGTTTGATGAAAATGAGGGTGATTTTAGAAAATTATGTTTCAATAACATGCCTTTTGTGGATATTAGATTCCAGTTCTGATTAACTACCTTTTAAGTGTTTGCCATTTGCCTATAAGACTCGGCTGGATCCTGAATTCTTCCAGTTTCCTCAAATATCTGGCTAAGCCTCTCCAGACTATGGCTTTCAATCTTCTTGCATTCTCTTGTCTTGGACTCATTAAGAAGTAAATCTGGCCTTTTTTCCTGAAGGCCTGCAGACCAAAGCTAGAAAACTGGAAGTAAATTCCAGAGGGATTGCCATGGTAGCTCGTATATTGACAGTTCTCATGCTTGTTGTTCTATGGGCCCCTCAAAAGATCACCACAGACTTTGAACTGCAAATCAGAAGATCCGTCAGGTTGCTGCTGCCTGTTCCTGCTCTGTCTGAGGACGCTTCGAGCCTGACATCTGGAATCTTCTCATTGGCAGGACACGGGACTCAGACACCGGGTTCATAATTTGCTCCAATGGTCAACCTGTGTTTTCCTTTTGTTGTCACAGAAATACCTCTTATTAATTACCTGATTGCTTGCTGAACAAGGAGGAGCCTATGCTGTTATTAACAAACCTGTCCTGCCCAGGTTAATAAGAAAGATTGAAGTAAGTACAAAAAGGGTGTATGAGCGGGCATCCTGGCTGCATCGGTACAACCAAGGGACAGATCCTAACTATATTTGGTCAACCATCAAAAGGGCCCTCCCCAGTCTCTCTTGTTGGTTTGTTTTTTGTTTGTTTCTGTTTTTTTTTTTTTTTCTTTCCTGGGACGATTGGTGGCTATTATTTTTGGTCCCTGTCTGTTAACCTGTTAGTAAAAATTGTGTCTTCCAATCTCCAGCAATTCCAAGTCAAGCTCATGGTGGCACAAGGATTCCAACCCCTACAACTACAGGAAGATCCAAGTCCCTCTGACTGCACAGAACAGTCAGCCTGAGATTTTCACACCTGCAGGGTAGGATAGGGACAATGCCCCCACTCAGCAGGAAGCAGTTTCAGAAGATGAGACCTGTAGTCCCTTCTCCTTAAGAACAAGAAGGATGAAATCTCTCAGAGGGGTATGAGACAGTCAGGGACCTTGGGAACAAGCCCCTGTGCACCTGGAAAACTCTTTGCTGCCTGTTGGCTCTTATCACTTCTCTTGTAGAACTCCCTACTGACTTTTATACTTGCAGAGCAAAGCACCAGCTAAGGAGCAAGCCCAGTCCAGGGCAAACCAGTCTGCACCAAGACGGACCCCAATACTGAACTTTCACCGACTTTGGCCCTCATTATAATACTAAAAATCATGCCCAGGGGTGGAGAGCTACCATGTTCATTAGACACGCCGCGCATGAAGAAGCAGGACCATTAAGTGCACAGGTGCTAATAAATCCCCACCTCTACCTGCTTACATGTCACCCTTTTCCCACCTAAGTTCCTTTAAAGTATCCCATCTGACCTCTCCTTGGAGAGTCAGCCTGGGGATTCTTTCCTTTGTGCTGCCCCCTGGGGCTGGGGCATAAGCCCCAAGAAAGTTTGCCTGTGCTTTTATATTTGGGGTCGAGTCTTGTCTCTACCATTGCTGGGTCCAAGGACCTGAGTCTGGTAACTGATAGGCTTGCTCATATCTCTTTCTGTTCTGCTAAGACAGTTACTGTGATACTGTTCACCTTCCAAATTCTAAAAGTGATATTTCTATTCTATATTGCCCTATAAACCATAGAATCGATCTGTTCTGAAACTCTTCCTGGTACTCCGAATCACACGCCTGAGCATTTAAGTCACGGCCCACTGTCTTCTCTGCACGAAGAATTCATTTATCCCTTTCTTACCCTTTGAAATCAGCCCGATCACTGTGATAGCAAATCTCAAGGGATTTACAAAATAAAAATTGTTTTCCTCTTTCTCTGTGATCTTGTAATGTATACGTTACTGCATTATTGCCTCTCATGTGCTATTATAACACTTTTTTTTTTTCAAAGTTCCATCTAGATTATGATTCGGGTTGTCTTCAGAGCCGTGTTTGAAATTCCTTGCAACATTATGTCTGAAATGACTGAATCTGCATCAGTGCAGAATTTTGTATGTAATTTCATTCTTATGCATTTTGTCTGTTACTTTGTTACCTCAATACCACATTGTTCTGATTCTAACTATTTTAAAAATAGTCTAAGTGAGGGAGTTTACATCTTTCTATTTTGTTTAGTAAATGATCAGTATGCCTTTTCTGTGGAAAAGTCAGTAAAGCAAAGAGAAAGATTTCATATCATTTCACACTTTTTCCTAGGAAAATTACCTGTTATTCTATTATAAAGTGCTGTGCTTTTCTGTGTCTTTATGTTATTAATATAAAAAATGACCACAGCTGAAAATCTCTGGCTATGATTTATTTATAGCATAAAATATTCAATTCACAATTAAATGCTAACCTGTAATTGAATCCAAGGATTCATTCTGCTGATACACTGAATAAAAGAACATAAGTAAAGTGGTGCATAAATAGGAACTGAACAGAGATTAATAACCACCAATATTTATTATGAGATGATTCATTATGAATAATTTGAATGAAATGATTAGCATGATAAAAGCAACTCTTTAAAAAGGATGCAAGATATTTAAGAAAGATTTCCATCTTGCTGTGGCAGACAAAGTATTGTATTCTGTAATTGTAGGAGAAAGAAATCTTGAAAGGTAATATGGACATACTCTTAAAATATTATGAAGCGTATTTCTAGATCATTTAAGTTGTAATATCCATTAAGATGTTAATATAGTCCTGCCAGTAAGTTTGTTTATAAAAAAGAAGCAAAATATCCAATTAAAATTCACCCTGAGTCAACAACTGAAATAATGACATAAAGGTAAGGAAGGAACGTCCTCCTTCAATTCTATTGATTTCTGCCTTCATCTTTACATCTGAAGAGGCATAAAATGCTCCAGAGCATCTTTCTCAAGTTATTCTTCCATTCTTTTTCTTCTCAACTTGACCTTTATAAGCTCATAATAAAATAAGCATGAGAAGGAAGAAATACTAAGGGACTTAATTGGTAGAAACAGGAACACAATGGATTTAGACTTTCAAGGACTTTGGGAATTGTAGCAAAAATATACACAATATATACTGTGTATAAGGATTTGAAATAATTAAAATAGAATTAAAAACAAGCACACAAAAGAGTAACGACCAAGATGCCCAGGCAGATTTGATAAAATAACAAATGAGAATCCTAAAAATGAACAACATAATTATTAAAATTATTTTATTTTTTTGGAAATTTTATTTATTTGAGAGGACAGAGAGAGAGCATGAGTGGGGGTCAGGGGTGGGCAGAGGGAGAGAGATAAGCAGATTCCCCACTGAGCAGAGGGGGGGAGTTACCCCTAATTATTAAAATTAAATGCTCAATGGAGGCATTAAATAAGTAATTAGAGACCAAAAAGGAACCTGGGCCTGTAGATCTGAGTAACTAAACAGAGTGAGGCACAGGGAGACAGAGAAATAGAAACTCAGGAGGAGAGGCTAAGAGATATGGAGGGTAAGGGAATGAAAGAAACACTGTGTGTTTCTTTTTTTTTTTTAATTTTATTTTATTATGTTGTTAGTCACCATACACCATTATTTTTTGATGTAGTGATCCACGATTCATTGTTTGGGTATAACATCCAGTGCTCCATGCAGTACGTACCCTCTTTAATACCCATCACCAGGCTAACCCATCCCCCCACCCCCCTCCCCTCTAGAACCCTCAGTTTGTTTTTCATAATCCATCATCTCTCATGGTTCGTCTCCCCCTCTGATTTCCCCCCCTACATTTGTTTCTTCCAAGTTTCAGAAAAGGGCCATAGAGGAAATGGGGAGTGGTAATAGGAGAAGAAGCAATGCTGAGAAATTTCCAGAACTGACAAAATTGTCATTCTGCTGGCACACCAATCACAGTGTATGTAACAAGGTACATGGAATGAATGTGTGCCTAGGGCATTCCAGTGCCAGATGGAAGACAAAGCGTTCTTTACAGCAGTGAGGGAACGGGAATCATCTTAAAGGAAGGACAACAGACTGACAGGAGATTCTTGGAGGAAATAAAGTAACATGGGAGAAAAATGTTAGCTCGTATCTATCTCCTTATCTAGGGAATAACAATTGGGCTAAATAGTAAAATAACTTTTGTTTCATTTTTCTTTTAGAAGAATATAGGAACCATTTCTACAGAAATAAACAAACATCCAAAGTACTTTTTGGAAGACCAAAAAAGAAAAAAAAAAAAAAGACTGCCTTCATTCTTGATACTATCTTGATATCCATTATGTTTATCTGCCAATTCTGAAACTACAGGAATTTAGATGTCCCACTTATAACTGACTTATGAACAGGTATCTTTCCATAGAAAACAAATGGTGCTTTGTTTTAAGAAAATAATATCAGATTTACCAAATTTCATATTCAGGAAGTATTATATTTCCAAAATTTAAGCTCTCTCATGAATCAGTCACCTGGAGCAATATGAATATAATTAGAGAAGCACCCTCAGCAGTAAAGGGCCAGTCTCTGCCCCTGGGAACTCACCTCCCCTTCTGTAGACTGCAGATGGAGCTCCTTCCTGCAGGTGGCCTTGAAGTCTCCTGCAGCAGCACTCACCTGGACCCCTCGTGGAGCTTCCATTATCAAGGACCTGGTGGGTGATTCAAGCCTAAGAGCAAAACAAAAGACTCCTTCATAGTAAAAAGAAAAACAAATTATGATGGACTAAAAGATAACATTAGTAACTAAAACAAACAAACAGGTAGGCATAAATAAAAATCCTTTCCATTTCAGAAGCCAAAATGAGTGTTAGAATCATTTTTGATTGTCTTATCTATTTTTTGGCTTTTTATGAAACTCTTCATTTGCTAGCATCAATTATTTACTCTCATTTGTTTAATGATTTGATAAGAGTTTCTTATGCTGTTTCCTTTCACAATGCACATGAAAAGTAGGTCTTTATAAGTTTACTTGTTTAAATCTTTTATATATTTTCAAAATTAATGATGGAGTTTTATTAAATATATTTGTACCAACTTAGCATGTAACTATCCCTCAATAAAGAGTCTTGCAAAGAAGAGAGAGGTTTAATGAAAATCATTAATATTATGAACTTTCAAGCATTCCACAGTCAAAATTTTGTAGACCTGAAAATTTTCAAACTACTCATTATACTTTTAGAAATTAATTAAAATGCAGGAAGAAGCCCTTTCCTACATCTTCCTACAGGAAGAGCTGGCCTCTACTGGCCCAGGAAAATGTCCACAGAATGAATGACATTAGCCTGAGAGAGAGCAAGTAAATGAGGGGTGATAACACCAGCTCAAGTATGATTAAAGATTGACTGCAGAAATTATGAGGGAAAAAAAAAAACAACTGTTTTAGATAGTTGTGCCTGCAGAATAGCTAGTTGGGAGGCAGTTTCAAAATTACCTTTAATTATAAAACTAGAGAAAAGGGCAAAAGAAGGCAGAACATGGAAGCTAGAATACAGTGGTAAAAAACTTTAGTCACTCTGTATTTCATGTATTTTTCACTAAAGCTTTAAGTCTACTAAATTACTCCTGAAAGATTCAATCTAAAGAGAAATTTTGTGGTGTATAGTTTATTTAAAAGAGCGATGCATTTCTTTGAATAAAATTAATTGTAAAAAGGAAAAAAAAACACAAGTGTGAGCACAGGGACTATCCCCAAGTTGGTCTTTTTGGATAAACACTGTTCTGGGCAGCGATTGTGTGTGGTTCCCTTGCCCACACAACTTTAAGACAAGAGTCCCCTCAGGCTCACATCTCACATTCACCATCATCCAGAGCAACTGGTTTCCTCTGAGGCAACAGATCCAGAGCTGTTTTGCAGGAAAACTACATCAAATAGTTTGAACTCTGAAGATCAGCTCTCTCTCAGTAGTGAAGTTGAACTTAAAGACTTTAAAGTGATATTGAAGGAGTAGAGCTAGCATTTAAAAGAAGTAAATTTGACATTTTCAATTTTTTTTCACCCACCAAAGCAACTTTGAAACTTTCATCTCTGTGGGCCTCTTGGAACATCTTTATAAAATCCCTGGAGGGGTCAGATTTTGAATATATGTGTGTGTGTGTATATATATATATATATATATATATATACATTTTTTAAAAGAAATGTTTGTATTTTTTTAGAAAAATAAAAATCACATTTTCACACAGCATTTAAAAACTTGAAAATAAGATAATTGTATTTTTCACTCATAATCCTCACACTTTGCACAAAGACTACATTTCTATTAAACTGTGTATTTTATAATTGATTTCTCCTAATACATCCCCAAATATATGCCATCTTGAGTAGTATATCTGTGACCACTACTATTTTCATTGGTTAAAAGAAATGTTTGTATTTTTTTAGAAAAATAAAAATCACATTTTCACACAGCATTTAAAAACTTGAAAATAAGATAATTGTATTTTTCACTCATAATCCTCACACTTTGCACAAAGACTCTACATTTCTATTAAACTGTGTATTTTATAATTGATTTCTCCTAATACATCCCCAAATATATGCCATCTTGAGTATTATATCTGTGACCACTACTATTTTCATTGGTTAATTATCCATAACATTAAATGTAATTATATAAGTTTGGATATGATGAACCATTCAAACAGAAGTCAGGTACGTAATTAAAATGAATTATTCTAAAACAGATTATGAATCTGACATTCAAGCAAACACAACTCAGTGAACTTGTAAGTGGCAGAAAAAGCACCCTTACTTTATCAAATAACTGATATGATTTAGTTTGTTTCCAGGGATAAGGGTTGAGGTTCTTACTCATATATTTGATAGTAAGATACCCGTATTAAATGTGCTCATGTTTTTGTATCATATTTCTACTGTGTTTGACACTTGGTACTAGAGCATTAAAATATGTTAAGTCTTTATGGGCTTTTGAGTTTTTCCATTTTCATCTTTAGTAATTACTTAATCAGAAAATGTTTATTATATTCATCTTCATTTTAGACCTCAGGTATCCATTGCCAGCATAGCCATAGACTATTCAAACAGGCAATAAAGACTGAGAGATGGGTTCAAGAATGTTAGCCAGCAGCAATAAGACTCAATTTCAACATCTCTAAATTGAAAATTATAATATTTTCTTATGGGGCCATAAGATATGTCTTGGGGGAATTAAGGGAGATAAATATGTGGTGGGGTAGTATTTTGAGATACTGATGGGATTTCCTTCCCTGTCCCCCCTTGCAGTTCTGCCATTCACTATACCGTGTATTTTGCCACAAGCAGCAGAAGATGGAGCAGAGAAGTTGATAAAGAACTTTTAAGTTTCCTAATCTAATAGACATTTTGAGTTGAAGAAAACCTAGCCGTTTAGTGTGTTGAAAATGATTCAGCACATGGAAAAAAACATCAGAAGAAAACCAAAGTCAGTGAGAGCTTGTCGTATATTTCCACTTGTTGGAGAACTGTTTTCTTGATTCACAGGATAAAGATTTGGATGGGAAATCAACAGAATTGGTTTCAAATTGTTCTCTGTGTTCGGCTACCTGAAGCAAAGTCCTACGATGTGGGGCCTTTATTCTTAGGTGTTAGAGGTCTGAGGATAGTAGTGATATCTCAGGATGACTGAGGACAAGAGATCATGAGTCATGGGTCATGAGGCTCTCAATGACCAAATGTCACCCCAAAAGCTTTGGCACAGTGTAAACCCCTTGGTACAGTGATGCAACCCCAGGGAAAAAGAAGAGAACTGAATAGACAGGCTGAATTCCTGATACCAGGGCACTGGAGGCCAAACATGTATATACATATATACATATATACTTAATAATTTATATAATTTATATGTATGTAAAACTGCTCAGAGGACATAAAAACATTCAAAAAGTGGTAGCAATTTTATAGTATTGCTAAATCCTTCAAGTTATGAAGAGATTAAGACTGAATTAAACAGGTTTCAACTGTATGCTTTGTTAATCTTGATAAAACTAAGTGTGGTAATAATTAAGATATAATATAAACCTTATTTCCGCAACTATATGGTCAATTAATTTTCACCAAAGCAGGAAAGACTATCCAATGGGGAAAAGACAGTCTCTTCAACTCATTCTGTGCTTAAAACTTTGCATGGATTATCTCATAATCATCCCATCAATACTGAGAAATGCATACTCTATCCACATTTTACTTAGGAAGTAGTTGAATCTTAGTGTGGTTAAGTCATTTGCTTAGGATTAGGTAACTAATGCAAAGATCTCAGAATCTCCAAACCCACCTTGAAAAAGAACAACAATGTTGTACTATATGTTGGCTATCAGAACATAATAAACAAACAAACAAATAAATAAATAAATGCAAAGGCATTCCAGGCATTCAAAAAGCAAAACAAAACAAAACAAAACAAAACCTTTAAGCATTTTGAGCACTTCAAGCAAAGCTATAATAATGAAGAGAGTTGCTGGCCTGGCATAAGAATAACAAATACATCAATGGAATAACATAGAAACTCTAGAAATAGACTTTAACAAGTATGGTCATCTGATTTTTGACAAAGACAGTAAAGTGATCCAGTGAGAAAAAGCAAAGTAAAAACAGTGCTGGAATCTCTATAGGGAGAAAATGAACTTCAATCTATACCACCCAGTGTTATCAAGAGTAAAAGCTAAAACATAAGACTCTTATTTTTTTAAAGATTTATTTATTTTAGAGAGAGAGCGCGGGCATTTGCGTGCAAGTGTGGGGAGGGGCAGGAAAATATCTTTATGACTTGGGAGTAGGCAAAACTTTCTTAGACCACAAAAAAGAATGACAAGTAAATATTTTAAAACATAAGTTATTTGTCTTCAAGATGAAAAGCTGCTTTTCAAAATCCATCAATAAAATGAATATATCCATAGACTGGGAGACAACATCCACAAAATACAGATGTTACAAAGGACTGGTGCCAGGATATATAAATAATCTTCCAGCTCAAAGATAAAAATACAAAAAACACAATTAAAATATGGACAAAAGATTTGAACAAACACTTCACTAAACAATATATATGGTTGTTCCATATACACATGAAAAAGTCATTAATGTCACTACTCAAGTGATGGCAAATTAAAGACGTGGAATACCACTAAACATCCACCAGAACGGCTCAGATTAATAAGAATGCTAACACTGAATACTGGGGAAGATGTGCAGCTACTGAAATTCTCATTTATTTTTAGCAGAAAATGATATAATCACTTTGGAAAGCTCTGACATTTTCATATAAAACTTAATACATGCCGGTTATATCCCAAGTGTCTATCAAGAGGGAAATGCATAAATAAAATATTGTATGTTCATATAATGGAATAGTAACCGGCAGTAAAGCAGAAAGAACAACGAAAGAACTACTGATACAGACAACAACACAGATGGATCTCAAAAATATCATGTGGAGTGAAAGAAATCTTGCAAAGAAGAGTACATATTGTAGATTAATTTATATTTAGTACTAGATTGATCTAATCTAATCCAGGGCGAAAAAGGTGAGAGAAAATATTGCTTCTGAGGGGTAGTGGTGGGGATTTCCGGGGAAGGGCATAAGAGAACTCTCTGGGTGATGATAATGTGTTTTTTTTTTTTTAAAGATTTTTATTTATTTATTTATTTGAGAGAGAGAGAGAGAGAGCAGGG